TCTTGTGAGACGGACTACATTAAGGGCTAACCTATTACCCGTGTTGTTGCTGGCTGTCTCTGAGCTGCCTAATATAGTCTTCTGATACGTGTCTGTTAAGCAAATAGGCTGAAGCACACATTGCGGCACCCGCGCATGCCTGGAAACACGTGCGCATCTCATTCCGTCTCCTGCTTTCTCCGCGGCCGCGGGGATCCAGTTACACCTGCTTGCACATCGTCTGGCAATTAGCAGATGCAGCACACACGAGCACCTTTAAAAGTCCCGCTGACTACCCCGAATAAAGTTCGAGTGCTCGAGTCGGCTTTCCCTGACTTTTTTTTGGTTTTCTATCAAAGCCTGGAGGTTTTCCCCCAACATTTTTACGCACACTACCAAATCCAATCAAATTATAGAAACATCTCAAGGATTCTTTAATATTTTTTATAATACGTTGCAAATATATATATATATATATATATGTCAAATCAGACGGAAAGTCAAACACATAACCTTGACATTTAGGCCCACGCTGCCGAAAGCCCCGCAGAGGCCACAGACGCAAGCCGGAGGACCGGCGATCTTGTGAGACGGACTACATTAAGGGCTAACCTATTACCCGTGTTGTTGCTGGCTGTCTCTGAGCTGCCTAATATAGTCTTCTGATACGTGTCTGTTAAGCAAATAGGCTGAAGCACACATTGCGGCACCCGCGCATGCCTGGAAACACGTGCGCATCTCATTCCGTCTCCTGCTTTCTCCGCGGCCGCGGGGATCCAGTTACACCTGCTTGCACATCGTCTGGCAATTAGCAGCAATCTGCTTCAAATCATTACACGTTCAAGGTCTCCACCACCTGTAGCGACAGGAGACAGACATTCGGAGAACCTCGAGAGATCTCTTCAAAATCGGCCCAGGGAAAAAAAAAAAAAAGAGATGGTGCTGTCCTGTGTTTGACACCCTGGAAAGACCTCCACTCATACGCAGGCTTCTTTAATCACTTTTTCTGCTCGTGTGACGTTCCAATATATCGCCGTTGAAGTCATTGCGAGAATGTCCACGCGATTCGTGCCCGTCGGCGGTTTGTGGAGTTTTTGATGGTTGGGCCTGCTTTTTGTTGTGGGGTGTTGATGTGTCGAATCCAGCTGAGAACTAACATGACTGTGTGGCAATGCTCTGAGCTGGGATTTGTAAGACACCAGAGCTGGCTTTAGCAGCAGGAAACCCCAAAGCCTGTAAATAATCCACATGGGCAGACAGCACATAAAGACATCCAGTACTTAGCAGTTCTCTTATCACAGCTTGATGGCCCTCGGGACAAAAGAGATGTTGCTCCCTTTAATATGATGCGGCTCATATTTTAGCACGTACTGTATGGAATTGATCATATAAAAGATGACGACATTGAACAAATGCTAAGTCTGCATTGTTGATAAAGCTTGTCATGCGCTGCAGGTTGTTTTGTAATCAAAGCCCCTGCAGGATTCACTCCCTCAGTTGTGCGGGAATTTGTAGTTACCCCCGCATTCTCCAAACACACACACACACACACACACACACACACACACACACACACAATGTGTGAGTTAGGTTTAGCGCACTGCACACTGTGTACAATAGTGGAAGTGTTTCTGAGGGTCACTATTCGCCTTTTCTACTGTTCACTTTTCCAGGGTTCCCCCTTACAGTTCATAAAAATCCATTAAAAAAAGTTCTAAAATTGTGTTCTTAATTGTCCTTAATTTTCAGGGAAAGCTTCCAAAATCAATAAAAATCCTTAAAATTGTATTTTTTATTCAAAAATAAATTGACGTTTTATATTTTCTAAATTAATTTTTTTTTTTCATTTTTCGTTTCAAGTTTTTTTCATTTTCCTAGCTGTAACACAGGTAGGAAAATTTGCCATACATTATGTCAAATAAAGGGTTAGCTGATTGCCCCTAAAACAAAATAAATTGCTTTTTTATATTTTCTAAATTAAATTTTTTTTTTCATTTTTCATTTCAAGTTTTGTTCATTTTCCTAGCTGTAACACAGGTAGGAAAATGAAAATTTGACATACAATATGTCAAATAAAGGGTTAGCTGATTGCCCCTAAAAATAAAGAGGGTGCCCTTCCTTTGGAAGCAATGATTTGAACACCACCTCGGTGATATGTGGCTTTCTGTTCATCCCGCATATTGCTGAGCTGGCATTAAATCCACCGTGAATCCTCTGCTGAATGGAGAAAGGGTCCTTAAAAATGGCCAAATTATCCCTCAACAGTCCTTAAAGGTCCATAAATAAAAAGCAAGTGGAAGAGTGGGAACCCTGTTTTCAGGGGAAGTGGTGTAACTGACTCGCACAGCTCAACTGTTTTCTCTTGTTGCCGAAATTTATGGCTTCAATCAACGTTCGGACAGGAAAGACGGCTCAAATTCTTCGGCGCGACAGATGCCTCACGCCTGTCAGCGCTTCACTTTATCACACTTGGCCAAAGCAGTTTTCAGAATGGCGTTGCGTCTCAAGTGACCGGTATCTCCGAATGGGAGATCAAAAGAAGAGATTGCACAGCGTACGGCTGGGGAAGCTCGGAAATAGTGCAATGGGTGCTCTGTAAACACAGAGAGAGGCAGTTCATGCATGCATGCGGGCTAAACTTGGGCCTCCCAAAGGTACGGCGTGCCTTTTTAACAAACACGCTTGACAGCAACATTGCGAAAGGTGAAAGCCCAAGTCCCAGTCAAGAAGAAACATTTGCTGCTTGATAAAATTATAACCCAGAAGAATTAGTCTGGTGCCGTCAGGCAGCAATTTGATTTTAATTGGCCCAAGTCAAGATGATCATGACTCTGTTTTCAATTGTGTGATCACATAATTATTTTCCATGCTATAATTAGAAGAATGATTTCATATAAGCGTTGACATGAATAGAACGAGACTGATAATCTTTCTCATTCCCTGCAAAATTGCATTTGCTAAATTGATATGTTCCTGAGGCAGGCTACGGCGGCACCTTTTTTTCAGAGCTGCCCAATGTTACGGATCGTCCGCCATTGGTGATGAAAATCAATTCACGCTTACGCGTTTTGTCTGGATATTTAAATAAGTCGTGGATGAAATATGTTGGAAACGGGCAAAAATAGTTGCCGGATAAATGGGACATCTGTTTGACAACACGAGTATTGCAGATGTTGCGTTGTTCCCGAATGCTCCAGGAAAGTAGTTCAGCCGTGGAGGCTAGCAGACGGCGAGCAGCGGCAACACGGAATGGCGGCGAGGAACAAGGGCAGCCGGGCAGAATGAAGCTTCATCGCCAGACTATGATGTCCAATTATGCACCGACAACAATTGCATGCTGGCGAGAACTTTTATTCATCGAGAATAGAATAAAACGCTGCCACATTTCATACTTTGGGTGCTCTCGGAAATATACTCGGAGCCTTCTCTGCTCCACCTAGGTGTGTCCGGGAAGGATGAATCCATTCATTGCATTTCATACTGCTACATTCTCACCATCAAGGTTGACTAAAGAATGACATTACAAGAACAAATATTCAAGCCGTAATTTTGCGATTGCGATTATAATGATGCATGACATTATAATTACCACAGTTTTGTTTTCATTTGAATCCTACTTCTGAATATACTGCAATAGCTGGCCCCCAATTATGTTCTTGGCACCATTTCAGAAATTATGGAAATTCTGACAAATTATTCTGGAGGTGGATGTCCTTAGGATGGCATTTCTGGGTTTTAAATCTTTACTCACTGTGATCCCTTCCTTCTGTAATCGTAGTCATGGTCTATCTGGGCAGCAGCGTCAACTCCAGAATATATTGCAGTCTGTGAGATGGTCTTATTTTATTATATTTACAAAGATTGCAGTTCAGGAAGACTTCCCAGAAATGTATTTCTTGATCCATTACTGTCTGAACTTTCTTCCATCATATCCTGTTGACTCAACTCTTTGTTCCAACACCCTCGGTTGCTAACACACACACACACACACACACACACACACACACACACACACACACACACACACACACACACACACAGCATGCACATGCACGTGTCTCACTGCATTTGTCATCTCTTACAGTGGAAAAGAAAACATGTTGACATCTATGAAAAAAAGCACACATTGGCCGTCGGAAGGTTCCCAATTACTTTCAATTCACGTGTTCGGGGAGCGTATTTTAAAGCGGCGTCCGTTTCTGCATCCTGCAACAGAGCTCTTTTTTTGGGGGGGGGGGTGAAGTCACACGGCACCGCCATCTGACGCATTGCATGCCGGATCACCACATTTCTCCCAATATTGCTCCAATAAGTGAAAGGGGGGCGACGGACAGATTTTCCATCTACGAGATGAGGGATGTGCCCCTGACTGTTTGTTTCATTGTGGGAACAATCATCTGAGAATCGTGGAAAGAATGAAGCTGGTTATTTACCCAGATGGTTTACTGGTGGAGGTGTGAGACTGGCCAGCTCGCTGTGGGAACACAACGCTTGCTTTTCTTGGTATCGCTGACCGTTTTTGAGACCACAGACGCCCCCCCCTCTCTCCTCCCCCCAGCACTCCTCAGCTTTGTTTGCTCTGGATGGCATGTTTGATTATTTATCGTAAGGGAAAAAGGAGTAGCTGGAGCAATAAACATGTGACTTCAATGTATTTTGTTTTCCGCCAGGAAGGCCGTGTCCTCGAACACATATTTGAAGCCGTCATAAAGCTATTTATTTGCTTTCTTGATTGGAGTTTGGCAGCGCTAAGGGAGAGCCACAAGCGCTGATAAGTATCAGACAATATAAAACGTTGTCAATGGATACACTGTGGTTTGTGATTTGTCGTCTGACCTCCGGTGGATGATATCAAGGGAGAGAGTAATCGCTTGATTGTCTCCGGTGTTTGTTTGTTTGTCAGAAGAGAATATTGTTTTGGAGGCTCTAAAATGGGCAGAGGTGTGCTTTCAAGGAACCTCTTGCGATTGGGCACTTTTCCCATTGGGCTTCATGAAAAAAAATCTATTTTTCTCTTTCAGACTCTCCAGGTCGCTCGGCAGTTACTTCTGCAGCAGCGGTTTCAACAAAACACCGGCCGCAAATCCCCCAAAGCAAACGACAAGGACCAAAGCCTGCAGGTACAGTAAAATATTTTGTTTGTGCTGCGAGCACTCGAATGCATATGATTGTCAGCCTCTTAAATTTCTCAAATTAAAAACAAAAAGCAGGCTGGATTGATGAGTTGGTTTCAAAATAAGCTCTACCGCATTGTAATTCTGAACGCACATTTATTGTGCAGACCTCAACGCATCGTGTTGAGCCGCTAGCTAGCCAGCCGAAGCTCGTTGCTAGGTAGCCGGTGCGACCACTGAGCTCGCCATAGACCTCTTACTACACACACGTAAGGGTGTTGCGCCACCTTAACGCACATGCGTCAAGCCCAGCGAAGCTTCTTTGGGACTGTCTCCACCATTCATTTATTGCAAAATTTAAACAGCTGTGATTCTCACTTCTGCTAGTCCGTGTGTTTTGATGAACCGTAAAATGTGAATTGAATGTGAAAAAAAAAACCTTATTTCGAGCCTTGTGTGACTATCACTACGGCTACTTGCACTACTATTTGTACTACTGCTGCTGCACAGCTACGAATGAGTGAATTTCCCTTGGTTCCGTATGCTGCCTTCGAGGTCTGTCTTCGCCTGGCCGAGGGAACCAGTTGTTTGTATCGGTGTGCAATCGCTAACAACTTCAGGGCATATTTGGTGATTAATAGGGAGGCCCCGTTCTTTGTGCATGTATATATAATACCTAATACCCCGACTGTCCCATTGGGGGCCCTTTTTAATGAGCCACTGTAGCAGCTAGGTCTAATGTCAGGTTGTGAAAAAGCCTCTTTGTTGTGCAGACGTCTTCGGCGTTGCTTCAGAAGATGAAATATGACTGCGATGACCTTTCGGTTGTGTGCATATTTGTCAGGATTCAAATAAGTTCAAGGGATCAAACCAAAGGGTTTCCTCAGCCTGGCAGGGAATTGTGCTTCGGAGGTCAACAATGGGGACCACAAATTCGCAGATTCCTGCATACAGCCAGTTGTTGGTACGTAGGAAAGTGCTCGGCCATCTTCGGCAGACAAAGACAAAATTAGAATTCTAATTTATTAATGTATACAGGGAGCTCGGCCGAGCTGTCACTCAGCTTTAGAAAAGAGACTTGCCCGCCCCGCTCATGCCCACTTGGTGTGAAAAGAGCACCGACTTGCTGTAGTATCTTTACCAACACCATAAATTGCCTGATGCTCATTGTTCTGTTTTGCTGGGTTAAATTTGCAGCAATGCAAATGCCACACGTCCAGAGGGTGTTTATCTCTGAACTACATGTTCTGTTAATTAAACAAATCCCAGTCCCACACAGTTAGTCTAGCATTCACACACGCACAGTATGAACAGGAGTTGTGAGGACGTGTTTTTTTTTTTTTTTTTTTTTGTGATAGGAGTCTCAGATCACAGTCTGACTCACTCATCTCGTGTACTATTTTCAAAGTAAGCTGATGCTGCCATCACCGGGACGTTCACTCTCTCCATTATACATCCTGGATAATGACTCGCCGTTAGACCAGACTAGTTAATAAAAGGCATGATCCAGCAGTTATTAGGCTGTGTAGTAAACCTCATAAAAGCACCTGATCTGTGGAAAAGTCGGCGCTCGTCTCAGTGCTCTTCCCATTAGGCACAAGGAGATGGGCTTCGAGACTCACCGGGAGATGGAGATTTAGTGGCTTCGACTTACCAATTCACTCTCATTCAAGTCAAAAACAATAAAGCGCGGCATACACACAACCAACGTCTGAAATAAAGTGACTTCACAGTCGTAGCGGTGGTAGTAAAAGGATAAAACATGAGTCAAAGAAGACTGTGCGCCCCTGATTTACATGAAACGGCGCTTTTCATCGCTCCAACCAGGCCCCCCCCCCCCCCCCCCACACCCACACCCACAACCCCCCCACCCACAACCCCTCAACCCTTTTTGGCGCCTCTGGATAAAAGATGCCTCTGCTTTATAATGTCTTGCCTTGAGGCACCTTAATCAATCCTTGAAATACAAACAGCGTCCCCGCATGCGGGATGGAGTGCCGCAAAACATACTTGACTGGTCGAAAAGTCAGTGAATTACATTGACGGGATGACACGCGTAATTAAAAGAACCCGTGTCCCCTTTTACCTTTCACACTTCACACCTGCGGTGACACAATGAGAGCCAGCGACTCCCACCCTGCTAATTAGCATTATCAGTGAAATGCGAGGGGTTGACTCATTAGTTCCATGTGCATTTAATTAGAAGCGGGCTGAAATTGGATTTAACTTATTACTTTTTCATGGATCACTTTCTTGTCATCACTTCAAATTGGATTGCAGCCCCAGGTAACTAATTATGCTAGCCGTAGGATCAGGAATAGAGAAATAGGTAATTAGGAACAACTCTGTGGGACCCTTGCTGATAGTCCACCGGTATCAAGGTAAGGGGGGTCGGGGTGGGGGGGGGGCACAGCTAGTTTGTGTCATCACTCGCCATTCAAGCTAACTACATTTCTTTGCCAGGGTTCCGAGGGAAGGCATCAACCTCCCGTAGGGGGATTAAGCAGTATGCCGCTCGGCTTGAAGATGTTATGTCAACATGACGTCTTTGCTAGCCGTTTGATGCCCAGATTACATTTCTTTGCGAGACAGGATTGGCCAGTATTACTCACGTCATTGGCACAGCGACGGGTCGGTCGGCAGCCAGCTAATGTTCCCCGTGCAGACTTTACTTGGAGGTGGATACGTTTGGCGTGAAATATACATGGAGCGCCACAAAGGAAACGTGAGCATGAGGCGGTTTTGAGTTGCCTCATAGCAGAAGTACTTTGCTTCCTTGAGAAAAAGGAACTGGGGGTACTTTTTGTGGACTTAATGTGCTGATCGTCTTATCAGGTATTGGAATCTAAATTAACATTTGATTTGTGTGTTAGGGTCTCACGTGGCGTGATCTGTTCTACTTTGAAAGAAGGTAGTAGTACCTACTGTACGCCCCCGTCTGCCCCCGCACCCCTCCTCTTCACGGCTTTTGCTCTCTTTCTCGCTCCCTTGGTGTTTCAACACCATTGTTGCACTGCCTCACTGAGGGTACCTCCAGGTCAAAAGATAATGTCTTGTGAGTAGTCTGGATGAAAGCCCCTTGAGTTGTTGCGTGGCCCGAGAACGCCCTCATCCAAGCGCGTGGGCTTTTTGCATCCTTCATTTGTGGTCTGTTAGGGGTACGCGTGATGTGACACGATCCATGGGCCAATCCTCTCGCTGACAGGACGAGGAGGAGCTGCCGGCTCTCTTTCTTTTTCGTCTCCTACTGTTTCTGCAACAGGCCCATGGCATTGTCCTGACACATGTATACCACAGCGCGCCAATCTGTAAGTCATTAGAGCACTAGGCCAGGCCTGTCAGCTGGAGCCCTGCCAGTGCCGCAGGGTGATCTGAGACAGCATTATGAGGTGTTTCTGTAACTAAGTCAGCCAGTAGCCGAGAGTGTCAAAGCCGTTGTTGGCCGCTCGCAAAGTGGCGGTGAGCGTGAGAATATATGATCACAGTTAGTCGCTGTGGTCTTTGGAGAGTGCGGTCCACATGGAAACGGAGCTGACCTTCTCCCTATTCGTCTCAAAAAAGTTTCTCTTAAACAGAGGCCGAAATGCTTTCGCCTGAAGTGCCACGACCAACCAAAATTCGCAAACAGAGAATAGTACATCGAAGTCTGTGTAATGTAAACATACTCGAATGCCAACTGCGCAAGAAAAGAGACATTTGTTTTGACTTTTATTTCCCCAAAATATTTCTACCTCCTCCCACATTGCTCCTCTGTCACTATAAGATGATAAAAAGGTGAGCCCCTAGGTGGTGCTCCAACCGCATAAATGTCGTCTTTTGTGCGTGCCAGTCAACGTCGTGCTCTGTGTGACTGCATGTCACATGTGAACGAGTACATGAAAAGATCGGATTGAACAACAACAACAAAAAAATCCGAATTGGGCATCATGCGTGTGAACGCAGCCTGGAATTAGCATGACATGTGGGAGACCTTACCTGAACGTACATCAATGGAATCGTTGGACTTTTGACTCCTAATGTAACGCATCACCAATTTCATCAAATCTGCCAGATGTTTCTTTTGAAGAATATCTCCACAAATGAGGAAGACTCCTCATGAAGCAATAGCTTGAAGTGAGAAGAAAGATTTGGTTCTCTATGGCCACCACAGTTGCACCTCCATTGTGGTCATCACTGAGCTTGTGTGACATTTTTTTTTTTTTTTTTGGCATTCTTGACTTCAAAGCTTTTACCTCCAAATGATCTCAATTTACTCGGAAACCTTCAAAAAAAAAATCCTCACTCAAGGGTGCAATTCTCAAAAGCGGTTGACGTTGTTCTCTTTCCGTCTGCGATGTCATGTCTCGAGGTGATACTCTAATGAAATCATGTGGATTGCTTTGAGGTGAGACAGTTTGTCTTTGACGATCAGCCCAAAACCAAGACTGATGCTCGCGTGAAACCCCGCGATCAAGCTGTCTCTTTTGCTGTCTTTTGTCATTGTCATGTTGTAAAAATGTATTATGCGCACTGTATAGATTAAATCCAGGTTTGGGGGTAATCCTGTCAGAATGAAGTCATCTGTCCCGATTCCACACAGCAAACAAGCACTTGGGGGGCCGCTGCGTTTCACGTTCTCTCCTCGCCAAGACGATGAGTGTCGAATCAGCTCCAGTCACAGCACTGGGAGCCCTTCCATCCTTTCCGGGCCTTCCTTTGTGCTTCCATGTTTCCCTGCAAGCAGTTTGCGCTCTCACATTTCCACATCGTTCCCCCTCCTGACTCACTGGCTCTCTCGCTCGCTCACTCACTCCCTCAAAAATATAATGATCTGTTCACGTTCAAATTTGCAAGTGACGTGCAAGAAAACTAAAACTCCCGCCGGTCGCGAATTTCCATTTCTGGGTCCACCAGTCCACTTGAGAGCCTTTTTCTATCCTGGTCGGCCACCACACTTGAAGCGTTGGGCAATGCGGAGGTTAGCCAAACAACTCAGAGTCATCGTATGTCAGAGAGACCCGATAACG